TGCCCCTCACTGCGAGACAACTCTCACGAGGAGCCAACCCGCTCGCGGCTACAAGCGCGAGAATGACATGGAAGAAGCACGTACAAATTCTACTTAGTATAAATTTTGTTACTTCGAGCGATTCGATCCCTACATGTTTATTTCCCTTCGCCTCAAGCAGGCTTGTAACATTCAAACTTTCAATCAACGAATAAAACAAGTTCTTCTTCTTACTCTCAGCATTGTTACTATTTCACTACACAATTATCAGCACAAGTTAACATTATACAACCCTAGAAACACTTAGCGACATTATGGTGATCTATATAGCCTGGTCAGCTTGATTACTTAAATGTCTCTACTTTTTTTTAACGGGTCCTTCATTTAAAATATGGCCACGGTCCTAACATACTTACGGCCCATGAGGTCTAACAAGGGGCATGATCCCCCATCAAAGAATCTTGAGAGATTGATCCCCTCATCAAGTACATCACGCACAATGCTAAATGTAAACACATACAAGCAACGCGTCAAACTAATGACAATGTCAAACAATATAAACTTCAAACGAAATAGTAGTGGGCATATCCATCTACTCCAAGTATGAAGATAAATTAAGTACTCCGCCCACATATAGGGGAGCACATATCCTATCAAATACCTATACTACACTTGGCACTCATATTATGAGCCAAAGTCGCTCCCGCAGTGTCATCATCTGCCTCAGCATCATTCGCTATCTCGGTATCCGCATCGCAAGCACCGCCCCATGGTCGCGCCCCTCTGACCCATGCGCCAACGCGCTTTCGCGCCCTTCCGGCCCACGCACCAACGAGCCTTCGCGCGACTTGGGCCCACGCGCCATCTCCGCCGCCGACCAACCTCGAAGCGCGCGCCCACACCTAGTTAGGCGCGTCGCGCACCCGCCCCCGCCGCGCGCCTGCCCCGCACGTTCGCGCCCCGCCGCACACCCGCCCTGTGCGTCCGCCCTCGGTCGCGCCCCAAGCCGCTGTTGCCCGACCTCCGTTGAGGAGGCGTGCGCCGGAACGCCACATCGCGCCTTTCCGCCGCCACGCGTGGTTCCCAACCCAACCTCCATGCCCAAAGGCAACGCTCTAACGCGAGAATACTACAATTTTTACTCTCGACTCGATCTGGAACCCCTTTTGACTTGGCTCCCACATCGACTCGAGAGTGGGGGGCTTAATGATATGCCTAATTGGGACAGCCCAATGGGCCTACAATTTCTTTACCTACTGGGCCACGAGCCCAATTTAGAAGACCACTACTACGAAGGCCCAATCACCTTCAAATAAGGTTTGGACCCGACAAATTAACTCTAGCCCAATCAATGAGGTATACATAAGGATTTAATTCATTTGTTAAGGTACGTTCTATTATCCAAGCAATTCAACTGCTCATATTCTCTCAACTATTTCTACTATCCGCACGTCTAACTTGAGCGTCGGAGGGTTTTCCACCGGATCAACCCCCGACTTTGTTTACGTGTACTTTGTTCGCAGGAGTCTCAAGAACATCTAGATCGTGAGCCAGTGACCTACGTTGCTCTTCCAGCTCATCCTACTGCAACTGTAGCAACAAATTCTTATCTGCGAATGAAACAAACAAGAAAAACTTGCACAAAGATAATTGTTTGAATTAAAAATAAATATTGCGGGTTACAAACTCTAATTTAATCATCTGATTCTTCTCTCATGAACAATATATAGTTAAATTTGAAAATTCGAAGTCGGGTCGTTGACTTGATCTTCTCCGGATTTGATTTTGAATTTGAATAACGTTTTCCGAGGGTCTTGCGACTTGAGTCTTGGATCGAACGCTAAACTTTGACGAACTTTGACTTGAAGATCTTGGAGTTCTTGATGGATTTGGCCCTTCAATCGTCCTTCGATCTTGATTTGATGTTAATAACATTAATTCGAGGGTTTAGTACCGTAATCTCGAATTAAACACTTTAACGTGCCTTGAATTTAATGAAGCACGACTTGAATATTGTAGAGAGAATTCTCCTACGGTTTTTCTTCTTCTTGAGTTGTGTCTTGAATTGTGTAGGGAGAGTCCTTATTTATAGTGGTAGAATAAGAGTCCTAGATAAACCTTCTTGATGATGTGGCGCAATTTGATTGGCCCTTTTTAATTTGATATTTATCCCTTAAAACTTGAAAGAGAAGAAACAATCCTATTGGCTAATAATTAATTGATATTTATCTCCATGACTTGCCTTGAAAGACAAGATATAATTTAATTTAGACACAATTTAATTGGCTAATTTAATTAACCAATTAATTAATTTTATGCGTCTACAAATGCCCCCTCGAGACTTGTTCACGTACAATGCGTCTTGGAGTGAATGAGTCTCGGTAATTGCCCAACTTCAATTGCAGCTTTGATCTAGCAAAGGACATACATCTTTTGAAATCATGACTGAACATAGAGAAATTCTAAGTTGCCTACGTACCCTGTAAAGGGATCAAGTCATAACGTAGTTCAAAATATATCCTTTTGAGGGATGTCGTGCACGTTCTATACTCATGTGGGCATGGAAAAACATATGTTGTTTAAACTTGTACTGAATGAGCATTTGGCTTGAATTTGTAGATAGTTTACGCTTGTATCAAGGAGCCTTAATTTGGACTTGGACATATAGATAGTTTATGCTTGTATCGAAGAGCCTTGACTTGACTTGTGTACATAGATAGTTTATGCTCGTATCAAGGAGCCTTGATTTGACTTGGATATATAGATAGTTTATGCTCGTATCAAGGAGCGTTGATTCGACTTGGATATGTAGATAGTTTATGCTCGTATCAAGGAGCCTTGATTCTATTTGGATATATAGATAGTTTATGCTCGTATCAAGGAGCCTTGATTTGATTTGGATATGTAAACCTTTTAAACTCGTGTCAAGGAGTACTTCATTTGATTTGGACATGTAGGCCTTTTAAACTCGTGTCAATGAGTGATTCATTTGATTTGGACATGTAGACCTTTTAAACTCGTGTCAAGGAGTGCTTCACTTGATTTGGACTTTTAGACCTTTTAAACTCGTGTCAAGGAGTGTTTCATTTGATATGGACATGTAGACATTTTAAACTCGTGTGAAGGAGTACTTCATTTGGACATGTAGACCTTTTAAACTCGTGTCGAGGAGTACTTTATTTGGACATGTAGACCTTTTAAACTCATGTCAATGAGTACTTCCTTTGATATGGACATGTAGACCTTTTAAACTCGTGTCGAGGAGTACTTCATTTGGACATGTAGACCTTTTAAAATCGTGTCAAGGTGTACTTCATTTGATTTGGACTTGTAGACCTTTTAAACTTGTGTCAATGAGTACTGATTTGAACTTGAATTTGTAGACCTTTTAAACTCATGCCAAGGAGTACTGATTTGAATTTGAATATGTAGACCTTTTAAACTCGTGCCAAGAAGTACTGATTTGATTTGACTTGTCATATTGCGTAGGGTATTGCTTCTTCCAAAGACTTGCCCCCATCCTCATGATCTTCTTGTTCTTCTTCAACATGTTCTTCTTTGAGCTGGTACGACTTTTGGAATGAAGGTTCTTCGACTCCATTTGCAGTTATGCTCAATTCCATATCATGTGCTCGAGTGGCCAACTTCTCAAAACTTTCAGGTTGAATTCTTTGAAGGATGTATCGGAGTCCCCATTGCATTCCTTGGATGCACAGTTCAATAGCTGATGTCTTAGGCAGTCGATCCTTCCAATTAAGACTCAAATTTCTCCAACGGTTGATGTAGTCGATGACAGGTTCCTTCTTCCACTGGCGGGAATTGGTGAGCTCAATCATGTTGACTGTTCTTCGAGTGCTATAAAAGCGGTTGTTTCTTCCTCTAAGTGCTTCCAACCATCAATGGAGTTTGCCCCCAAATCGATGTACCAATCAAATGCATTGTCTTTGAGCGATCGGACGAATTGTTTGAAGAGGTGATCTCCGTACGTCCCGACATCATTGCAAGTCTCAACGAAGTGTGCCACATGTTGCTTGGGGTTGCCTTTGCCGTCAAATTGTTGAAACTTTGGAGGTATATAGCCCATTGGAATCTTTAGATCATCAATCCTTTGCGTGTATGGCTTGACATACGTTGATGGTGACTTCGAGCTTCCTTCCAACTTGTCTTTGATAGTTCCACTGATCAGCGTCATCACTTGATCTACATGAATCAGCCCTTCGGGAAAAACTTGAAGTTCTTGAGCTGGAGCCTTCTCGTTTTCAACTGGCTGTTGCTTTGTGGATGTCTCGACTTCGTCTTGAGCCTCTATCTGATTTTCCACAGCTTGAGTAGCATCGGATTTGTGCATCTTGTTGATCAACTTGGCAATTTGAGAATCTCGATGTTGAACATGCTTTGCGAGTCCCTCAATGGCCTATATAAAAGTTGCAATTTGCTCTTCCATAGTAGTGGAACTTGTCACGAGGAACGCTAGTTCGAGAGCTTCAATAAGAGAAGTGATGAGAGGTAGATATTGTCCCCACTGGGTGTGCCAAAATTTGTCGCAACAAATTCTTATCTGCGGTTTAAACAAACAAGAAAAACTTGCACAAAGATTATTTATTGAATTAAAAATAAATATTGCGGGTTACAAACTCTAATTTAATCCTCCGATTCTTCTCTCATAAACAAGATATAGTTGACTTTGAAAATTGGGAGTCGGGTCATTGACTTGATCTTCTCCGGATTTGATTTTGAATTTGAATAACGTTTTCCGAGGATCATGCGATGTAGCACCCTCAATGATTTAAAAGAAATTTTAGAAATACGGACTTTATTAAAAAAATTTAGAACAAATTTGAACTTTGAGAAAAACCACTTTAAAATTTTAGAACCATTTCCCTTTACTTCAAATCTAACCCACAATCGGAAAATAAGATTTTTCATAGAGAGTGTACCATAACATGAACGGGATTTTGAAAATAATCTCGAGGTGGCGGAATAATCCACATAAAACATTACCGGGGTTTAGAAAACACTCGTAAGACAGCGGAAGGAAATAAACTTTATTTAAGATAACCCCCGTTTAATAGACTGGGTTCCAATCAGAGTACAAAATAAGATTATACTATGTGATTAGTTTTTCGATAAAACGTTGCGTAGAAAATACGAGTAAAATAATATAGGCACCAAGGCTCGTGATTCCTCGAACTCCTCTCCGCCGGCCTCCTACGTAGTTTGGAGAACCTGAAAAGATAATTTGCATAAAAGCATGAGCCCAAACACTGGCTCAGTAAGGACATTAGTCTTAGTCTGACGAACTCACGCCTCTCTCATCGTATCTCTCACGACCTATGGGAGTCCTAAAGTATTCGTCTATGTTCTTTCCAACTAATTATATTATCTCTATCTATCATCATAACTAATGAAATACAAACACGTCACACATATTCAATCACATAAATACACATATAAGCACATAACATATTTTCTCTTGAAATCGAGAGCTTTACAACGAAAATATGGTTTTGTTTCAAAAACTGCTTAAAAATCATTATGGGAATCATTCTTGTAATTTAATTCACAATTTACTTGCGAATCCGATTTAGGCAAAAAGTCCCTTTCTTTTAAAAACATAATTTCTTT